TCTGCCCAGGAACCATCTCTCTTCCTGGTTGCCCCCCCCTGCTGCGGGGGATTTCTCAACCACCACTCATCTGTAGCGGACCTCGCCGCCATGACATGATGCAGACCATCTTGTTGTATCATTCGCACACGTGGAGAGAGTCAATGTATGTACTGTATGTATGCCATTGCATCCCATGCATGTCGTTTGGATTATACCGAGACGTCGCAGCCTACGCGCATGGAAGGATGTTCGCGTCAGGCAGGAGTCATGCATGCCGCCACATGTCTCCCCTCGAAATCTTGCTTCTCTACCCATTTCCTCCCGCGGAGTTTTTGTCGGCCTTGGTAGCGAGAGATGGCGCCCCCGCCCCCTGTTTCCCGGCCTAGGAGCTAATGAAGCCGCATCCGAGAGACGACGTCTGTTACAGACATGGACAGACGCATGCAGCTCCATGCACCCGTCCAAGCAGACGGGAGGGAGAGTCCGGTCCAGTCTTGCCCTGGCCGTGCTGGATGCACGTCTCGTGTGCGGGCAGTCATCCATGTGAGGCTACGCCCGTCTCCCCAGGGACACGCCTGTCGATGCGACGGCCAGTGGCAGGGGAAATGGCGTCGGCCGCTGCGACTGCATATATGTGCTGTAAATGTCAAAGGTCAGCTTGGCTTCGGGGCACGATGCATTTTCTCTGCCTGCCCATGGAGCTGAACCGTCGGTCGCTGCCGTTGATGAGTCGCCGATGAAACGGGCCGCATGGCCGACGGCTGGTCTCTGACAGGAAAAAGGGGGCTGATGGGCAATAGAAGCTTGATGGGTGCTGATGCAGATATTGATGAGAAGGCTGCTCCTCGGAGTGATGCGCCGGATCTTTAACATGCTTGTGGATCTTGGCTACCCGCCGTCGGGGGTGGCGCCAACCCTGGGCCCCCTTCGTTTCCCCCTCTCTTCCCGTCGGGCGCAGCGCGGTGCTTGGATGTCTGGTTGGCATGCGACGGCATGGAGAGGGAGATGATGGGATGAAGAGTTGGGATGGAAGCCGTATCTCTTCGACGGCGGGTTGGGGCGCACACGCAGCCCCGAGTACCTCGACTTGTCTCCCCTGTTATCTTGAGTGAGAGGAGCAGGCACTGGTACGCATTCACACCGTGCGGGACAGTGCACGCCGCTCCACGTCATCCGCGCAGGAACTATCGGTCGGTGTGCTGGGGACGCGAGGCTTCATATTCCCCCCCCCGACAGCCCTTCACAGCCTTGACCTCTTGTCCTTTTGCGACCGTCTCCGTCCCTTCAGCCCCCCCTCCATCCCCCGTCCACTCCTCCCTCCCCCGTCCGCTCCTCCCGCTCTCCGGTCCCAGCTCGTCTCCGGAAACTGGGCTCGCCCTGCTGCGAGCGAGGCCGCCCGTCGCTCGTGGTTGGACGCAATCTGTCATGTCATACGGACGCTGCCGCGGCTGATTCTGAGCTGTCGACGGCCACGGCAGCTAATCAGAGGGCAGCGAACCGCCAGCGCCCGCACACTCTCCCTCAGCGCGCGGCGCGCAAAGAGGACGACAGTCCAGACCCCAGTTGCGGTAAAGCTCCACGACCATCATGTGTTTGCCTCCCCCCTTTGCCCAAACGGGCCGCGCCCACGTCGCTGGAAGTCCTTTGCCGTGTCTCCCGCATGGGCTCAAGCGGCGTTTTAACTCGACGTCGTATTATGCGGGGATGGGCCTTTCTCCATTTTCTCGTCATTTTTTTCTTCTTCTCTGCTCTTCACACGCACCGTGATTGCCTCCCAAAAACAGGGCCCAACCGAAACCCCAAGTGGGAAGAGACGAGTGTCGAGGCCGCCAAGCCCGTCGGCGCATGAAACAGGCAATGGCTGTCTCCGAGATGAAGTCTTTCGCCGAGCTCGGGCATTTCCCTCGTCCTCGGTCTCTACACACACGTAAAGGATAGATTGGGCAGTCAGATGGGGGGTCGTACCGGCTCGAGCCTCAAACTGCAGCGGCTCGGGAAACTCCGCTTCCTACTGATGCTCGAGTCATCGGCCCCCTAGACTGACATTGGCACCCCACGATTCCAAGCATGATGCGCTGACGAGGGCAGGGCCTTGGTGCTAACAAGCTGGCAGCATGGCCGTCGGCTGAGCATGTTTAATGACGACCAAGCAGGCAGGAATCAAGAAGCCTGCCAGACGACGACTCCACCCACCATGTGTCATCGAACACGCCCCCTGGTCCCCTGTTTCCTTTCCAGCGTGCTCCAGCAAGCCGGCATGCAATCCTGTTTCCTGTTGTGCCGGTGCGTCGACTGACATCGGCCCCATCCCACCACACTTTGCTTGCCTTGCCGCGGGCAGCTCCAGCACCACCGCCCTCCGTCAGCGTCTGTCGTCGTCTCGAGTCGTTGCGAGCTCCTTTTTCTTTTCTTCTCCGGCTTGTCTCTGGCGTGCGCATTCCCAATCTTACCTCGTCACTTCTTGTTACACTTAATTATCCCCCTCCCCCCCCACACCAAGGACGGAAATGGAGGCGTCTGGGGATGCTCGCATGGACAGACATGGCGTCGGTCCCATCTGATATCAATCCTATGCGAGCGCATGGCTGTTTGGATCCGGCATTGAGTGGATGGGGTCGTGACAAAACGCAATGCCCTGTCGTCGTCGTCTCGGTGGAGCTTCATCTTGCCCAAGTCTGGAGATTCCCTGGATAGCCCTGGCTTTCAGCCTTGGGCCGTCCCCCCTTTTCGCATCCAGCCTGCTGGCAATGCCATGTCCAGCCCGAGCGCCTTCTGAGCCATCCCTGCCCTGCAGTGTCCGTACCTGGACGGAGTACGGCCGACGCTCTCTCGCTCGTACACACTCGCATGTACATGTGCTCCTATATGTCCATGGATGTGCGTATGTATTGCGTGCCCGCCCGCCCACGCTGCCGCCCGGCCGACTGGAGCTCCGTTTGTCCAGAACCAACAGCAATACTGGTCCCCGGAGCCCGACAGCCCGGGTGTGTCTGCCCCCCCCTCCCCCGTCACCTCCAATCACGGCCGCTTCCAGAAGAATCATTCCTCTCTCTTTCTCTAGGACCAGGGTTCCCTTCCTGCTTCTTCATCACTGCGGCTTCGGGCCCCAGTCGATCCAAGTACCGTCCTGTAGGCCGTCTCTTTTTGAACATCTACATACAGCCATACCACGGTCAAGTGTCTATGAATGTACGGGACTGCTATCATGACATGAATCGCTGGCCCTTGTCTTCCGCTCAACACCCCCCGTCTCTCTCTCTGTGTGTGCCTCTTCACTTCTTCTCTCCTTCGCCTTGCCTTTCTCTGCCTTGTTTCTCGTCGCGTCTTTCTCCAGCTTCATCCAAGTCTGCTGCATCTCTTCTCATCTAGCTCTCTTACTGGCTGTCTCGTCTTTTCTGGCCTCTCTCTCTCTCACTCATTATCCCTGAAACACGGGCCGGATAAAACAAAGGGAACCCCTCTCGCCCGTCCCGCCCCCCTGTTCGTCTCTTGTGCCTCGTCCTGACTCTCGTCCGTCCCTTCTTGCAGATTTGCCAGCTATGTGTATGTATGTACTGTAGATGGGCTCCGATTGCCGAAGTGACACCCTGACGGCTCCCGTGCGTGGCCAGACACCCCCCCCCTCCTCTCCCTGGTCTCTCTTGTCTGATGTGCCTCTTTTCCTGCGTTTTTTGACGGGGACCCCTGTGCCCACGCCCTCGCATCCCCTCGCATCCACCCCCCCCTCCCCCCCAAAATCCATACCCGCCTCGCGTGTCTTATTATTGCCCAGTACAGACCCCAAATCTCCCCCCCCCAAAAGAGCAAACCTCTTTGCCTCGTTCGAGACACGCGGAGAATTGTCAGATGGGGGACCCGCACTGCATCCCCACGGCATAACGCTCGTCTCTTGGCTAGCATCCGCTCTACAGACTCGGACCAGGATCCCTCCCACACCCCCCCGAAGCCCGGCCGCCAACCCCCAACGACCCTTGCTCGGCTTGCACCTCGAGCAGCCCAGCGAGTTGCACAAAAACCGAGCTCGAGCCGCCGATCAGCCTCTAGCTCCCCCCCGAGCCGCCGCCTCGACTCTTGCCTGTGCTGGTTGCTCTCTCTACCACTCCCTCGGCCCTTCGTTTACCTCTCTAAATCAGTCTCGGACGGGAAAAAGCCCTTCGCTTCGATCCATCCAACTCTCCTCGTCAGCCCCCGTGGCGGCTCCCTGGTTCAGCAGTTTCGGCCAGCCGCCTCTTTCCATCCCATCCCAACAATCTCAAGCAACCACACCGACAAGTCCCCATGCCGTACGTATCACGACAGTTGTAAGATCTCTCGGTGGTAGTATCACTGTGCAGCGCTCTGTTTCACGCCAGCTGCCCCCGACTCTTACATCTTTGCTGGCTCCTGTCTCTTAACCATTGCCTTCTACCGCTCGATCGTCCCCCCCCCCCCTTCTTCGAATCATCCGCCGCCATCGGGCTCTGCATGCCTTTCGAGCCCCGCGATCATCACCAAAGGAGATCAAAACCAACATCAACATCGTCATCCTCGGTCAGACCGGTGCACTCTGACTTTATCTCTCTCTTCCCTTCTTTCTGTCGGGGAGTCTGCTCGCGTGTTTGCCCATCATCGTCCATTTGCGGACCGACTTGGTCGTTTCGTGCAAAGGAAAAAGCGGCTTTCTTTTGCGTGATTGACGATAGATAGCTCGACAAGATCGTTAGGACGACGGCTAACAGTCTTGGACGCCTCGTCTTTCTGTCGGTCCTGGCTTTGCACGGGCCTCGCCTTTCCTAAGGGAACGAAAGCGGCAGCACGGCCACGATCCGGCCGGGGAAGAAGCCCAGGCTCTTTAACAAACTCGAGGCAAAGTCCTATCCATGCTGTCTGTAAGCCGCCCTCTCGACACTCGTTCGTTTCCTCTCGGCCAGCGCCCAGGTATAGCGCACCCGGCCAGCGGCGCGTCAGACCCGGGCTGGGAGAGCAAAATAGCAGAGTCTGCGGCATCGGCTCGCATCCGGGCATATCCTTCTCCGCCCATGTCAGGGCCGTCGAACGTCCCGCCCAGACTATCCCGAGAGGCAACCCAACGGGGCGAGGCACCGACTCTTTACTCGAGCAGCAGCGCCGTCACGCACAATGCCTACCGAGAGAGGCCTCTACAGCTGCAGCAGCAGCATGGCCCGCCGCCGCCGCCCCAACACCTGCCGCCCCCGAGATCCTACCCGCACGAGCCGCTGCGCGCACCGCACGGCTTTCCGGGCCCCGAGGAGGCGATGCCGCTGACGCCCTTGTATACGCCCCATCAACCTCGCGGAGCTTCGCAACCGGCTTACCAGCGGCCGCATACCGCTACGTCTGGACACAACTCCGAAGGGCCGTACCCGATGACGAGCCGAACGCCGGCAACTGAAAACCAGTCCTTTTCTCCGCCCAAGTCTCAGAGGAAAACCAAAGGCCATGTTGCCTCTGCCTGCGTGCCTTGCAAGCGGGCCCATCTTCGGTAGGCAACTTTCCTGGTCTCCCCCTGTCCAGACTGGTCGATGCAGATGCTAACGGGGGTGTATGCTCCAGATGCGATGGTATGTCTTCTATTTGGTTTCTGTTCGCCCGATGCCACGGGGTGGAGCCTGTCAAGACTACTGAAGTTGGCAGCTTGTACGACCCAAGATATGTTGCCGATCAGTGCTGACCAACTGGCGACAGCACAACGACCGTGCTCGAGATGTCTCAGCAACGGCAAGGAAGACGCTTGCGTTGACGTTCAACACAAGAAGCGTGGTAGACCCCGACTTCGAGACGACAGGGACGCCCGATACGATCCGCTACGGGCCCCGCACTATCCAGATCTCTCGTTGCGAAGGCCGCTGAGTACATATGCCCCCGGAGGCCCCGTGGCGCAAGGATCCGACGAGATGATTCAGAGGCAACAATCCTATCGGCAACTCGAGACGCCGACGAGCGCGACGCTCCCGCCGAGACACTATGTCGAGAGAGCCCCTGATGGGAGCATCTACAGCCCGCCACCGCTGCCTGCTGGCTACCCGGAGCCGGTGGCTTACCTGACGATGGGAATGGACTTTGCCAAGGCATCGCCGACGTTTCTGGATGCTATTAGCGCCGTGAGCGTGACGAGTAGGAAACTGAGCGATGTAGCGGCCGGCACGGAGGCGGAAAAGATCTTTGGCATGCAGAACCGGCTTTTGGGCGAGCAGAAACGAAGAGAACCAAACTACTTGCCGCCTATCCTGGGCCTCGGGCCGGCCTTTCAGGGGATGGGATTCGGCAAGGAGGACATTACGAGGTTCCATTTGAATATTCAGGAGCAGCTGGCATTTGTCGGGCCTGATGGATATGCGAGGCATTATCCTCTCCGCATAGGGCTGGGAAAGGAGGGATCGTTCTTCTTCGTCGTCATGTTGCTGAGCATACCGCCTCGTTACCCGCTTCCGTCGTCCGCGCCGACACGAGTTCCTGCCGCCGTTCCCTATCACGGGACACCAGGGCCACCGGAAGGCCTCGGGCCCCGCGCGGGTGTCGGCCCGGCGTTCGATCCCGTCCGACACAGAGTCAGCGAGAGCCCTCTGAATCTGCGATCGCCTCTGAGCCTGCAGAACCTGGCGAGCCAAGCGTCGCCCGCGGTCAGCCCCGGCATCGCCTCTCCCGTTTCCCCCTACGGTGCCTCGGCGGGCACCAGCCGCTACTCTGGGCCGACGGAACAGCCACCCTATGGACCTGCTGCCTCTGGCGGACAACTGCCTTCGTTTTCCGGTCGGCCGGGCCAGCAGAGATTTCAGCTTCCCCCCATCAGAGCACATTCCGAGCAACGCCCACCGGCGGTAATGGGAGGATACGGATGGCAACGAGACGAACGATCAGGGCGCGTCGATATCGGAGGCTTAATCGATAAGCCTGAAGATGACGGGGGGAAGCCGCATTAAAAGCGCCGTCTCTCTCTTCCTTGGCATCATGGGCTGCGAGGGAGGAGCGTCATGACCGACCCTTCCGAAGTCAAGGACATGATGCCATTCAACTACTTTGCGATGAGTAATAATGTTGTCTAATTCTCCGTGTCCTGAGCCGGAGTACAGTTGGCGAAGCTGGGGCGTTTCTATGTGTCTTTTCAGAGCATGAGACGAAGTAGACGTGCTTTCTCGAGTGGACGAAATGGTCCGAGGTTGAAAGACTACAGTCACTAATTTGGCCGAGCAGTACGGCGGCGGACTACGGGATAGGCGCCGTCGGGGCCGGTTAACGCTTCAGTAATGAGGACGGACGTGACCGGATACGCAAAACGACACAAAGTGGTGTTGAACGACAGGGGCAACAACGAAACACTGGAGCAGCGGAAGAGGAATAGCACGGGGGAGTTGGTCGTTCCCGCCAAGCTGCCAAATGCCGATTCCTGGGGCGGCAAGGGGAGGCTGTAATGAAGTCGAGTCAAGTCGCACTGTGACGCTGCAAAATCTGCACCGAAGCTTTGCAACGCCAAGTCGAGTCTTGCCCTGTGGTTTCTTCCTTGTTTGATTTTGAAGCATAGCGGAGGTGTCTTGTCCTGTTTCTCTCTTTTTTCTACTTATTTCGTCGCTGATACCTTGGGGAAATGCCCTTGCAGAGAGCTCGGAGGCCGACCTCGGGCATTGAAAGTTGTACTGCATGTACATGGACTGGGTGCAAACCCAATGAGCGGCGGGCGAGGGGAGGCAGGGCTTTGTTATGGTAGGAAGGGCTTGCTGGAGGATGGGATGTCGGCGGCCGGCAACTTTCGCGGTTGTAAGAAGGCATGGTTCATTGAACCCCCTTGCCGTTCGTCGGGTAACATGTATGTATGTACAATGCTGTACTGCATGTACGTACGTATGTATGTATGTATGTATGTATGTATGTATGTATGTATGTATGTATGTGCAGCAAAGCAGCAGGCCTTGTATAGCGGGTACTGAGTGGCGATAGGGCGGTCGAGCTGGGCGGTGAGGATTCCAGGTGGACGGATTCCGAAAACCTAAACCGGGGAACTCTAATTCATACAAGGACGTTGCGATGTGTACGTATGAGCAGCCCGCGGGCCCTGAAGGTGCTGGCCTGAGAGCGGAGCGGGATGGTCGGTGGCGGACCAGTGCTTGTATAACTCGAGAGTTGTTGCTGTCTGCTTAGAAGTATATATATATGAATATGTTGAAGGTGTGCGTGTGTTTTTGCGTGTGTCTGCGGTGAATGGAGGAGGGGGGTGGCATCTCGTCACCCCGGCTTGCATAGACACCGGGGGGGGGGGCGCGGGCTGGGATCGGGCAATCGGGGAAGACCTCCGATGGGCGGAGCACGGAGGTGGTATTCTCGGCGGGCGCTGGGCCGAGTGGGCCAGAAGCCCGGCGTCCCCGAGGGAAAAAAGTTGCTTGCGGCTAGGCACGGGGACCTGCAGCGATGGGAAAGATCACGTGAGAACGTGACGACTTCGCGTGTGCTCCACAGTGCGGGTGATCTCTCCGCACCATCCGCTGACTGTGGTGTTCCGTACCGGCATGGTACCTCTTTTGCAGCTGTAGGTGGGCTTGGTACTTGCAGGAACGTTGCCCTGCTCCCCACCTTTCTCACGATGCCACGCAAACAACTCCCGACGACTGATGACCAGCTCCTGGACTCTTCTTTGCCTCAGGCTATCGTGACAGTCGGCGTCTGACCGCCCTCAGCTAGCGCAAGACCCATCTGCAGCTTACAGAGGTCCTCCTGGCGCCAATGTCCGCGGCGCCCGTCTTCTGCCTGGGAAGCACCAATCATCTGCCGTTGAGTTGAACGTCAGCCAAGGAGGCGCAATGGCCGAAGACATGGATATTGACGGCCCCGGCGGCGTCAAGAGAAAGGCGCAAGACGAGCCTGACGAGCCCCGGCCGCCGCGTCGAATAAAGGTAGCCAAATCCTCCCTTTTTGGTCGCAAGAGCTCACCCTCCCTCCTCAACGCCTGCGCAGGCCTTGGATACAGACGTGGTCAACAAAATTGCGGCCGGCGAAATCATCGTGGCCCCGGTTCACGCCCTCAAGGAGCTCATTGAAAACGCCGTGGACGCCGGGTCGACGGCCTTGGATATCCTGGTCAAGGACGGCGGCCTGAAGCTCCTGCAAATCACCGACAACGGCAGTGGCATACAGGTGAGAGAACATGTTTGCAAGCTTCCGTCACCCCCGATACCGCTGACCATGGAGCCGCGCTCAAGAAAGACGATCTCGCCATCCTGTGCGAGCGCCACACCACGTCCAAGATTGCGGCATTCGAGGACCTCGCCTCCATCGGCACCTATGGCTTCCGGGGAGAGGCCCTGGCCAGCATCAGCCACATAGCCCACCTGGCCGTCACCACAAAGACAAAGGACTCGCCTCTGGCATGGCGCGCCCATTACCTCGACGGCAAGCTCGCCCCGCCCAAGCCGGGACAGCCCGCGGAGCCCAAAGGAGTCGCTGGTCGGCCCGGCACGCAAATCACCGTCGAGGACCTGTTCTTCAATGTGCCGACACGCCGCAGGGCCTTTCGCTCGCACGCCGAAGAGTTCAACAAAATCGTCGACCTCGTCGGCCGCTACGCCGTCCACTGCACCCGCGTCGGCTTCACCTGCAAAAAGGCCGGCGACTCGAGCAGCAGCCTGTCTGTGCAAGCGCACGCCACTGCTATTGACAGGATCCGCCAGATCTACGGCAGCAACGTCGCCAATGAGCTCATTGAATTCTCCACGCGGGGGGACCGCTGGGGCTTCAGAGCTCACGGCCTCGTCACAAACGCAAACTATCACATCAAGAAGACGACGCTTTTGCTCTTCATCAACCACCGCTCCGTCGAGTCGACCCATATCAAAAAGGCCGTCGAGCAGATTTACGTCAACTTTCTGCCCAAGGGCGGCCACCCGTTTGTCTACCTCAACCTCGAGATTGATCCGGCTCGCGTCGACGTCAATGTCCACCCGACCAAGAGGGAAGTGCACTTTCTCAACGAGGATGAAATCATACAAGCTGTGTGCACGCAGATCCAAGTAGAGCTGGCGGCTGTCGATACCAGCCGCACGTTCAAGACCCAGACACTACTCCCCGGCGCCAAGCCCGTGGATGACTCCACGTCGGACGACGCCGCGCCCCGGCTCGCGGTCACGGGAAAGCGGCGCAGGAACTCCAACGAGCTCGTAAGGACAGACACGTCCGTGCGTAAGATCACGAGCATGTTTACCCTTGCAGATGCCAGCGAGGGTTCCAGCAGCCGCGATGACGAGCCGCTGGCGGTTCCAGAAAACGTCGAGTACGAGGCCAGTGACCGCGAGCCAGTCCATTGCCGTCTGAGGAGCGTCAAGGAGCTGAGAAGCGAGGTTCGCGTCGACATACACAACGAGCTCACGGAGATATTCGCGTCACACAGCTTTGTCGGCGTTGTAGATGAGCGCCGGCGGCTGGCGGCGATCCAAGGCGGAATCAAGCTGTATCTGGTCGACTACGGACACGCCTGCTTCGAGTACTTTTACCAGCTGGGGTTGACAGACTTTGGGAACTTTGGTGCCATCCGCTTCAGTCCGCCGCTTGCGCTTAGGCAGCTGCTGACAATGGCGGCCGAGGCGGAGAAGACGATGCTGGGGGCGACAGACGAGGACTTCGACGTCGAGGCCGTTGTAAACAAGGTGGCGGACCAGCTCATCGAGCGACGGGAGATGCTGCAGGAGTACTTTTCCCTCGAGATCTCCCCCGCTGGCGAGCTCCTCTCCATCCCCCTCATGGTCAAGGGCTACACGCCGCCCATGGGCAAGTTGCCCCGGTTTCTGCTCCGCCTGGGCCCGAACGTGACGTGGACAGAGGAAAAGGGGTGTTTCCGAACCTTCCTCCGAGAGCTGGCGACTTACTACGTCCCCGAGCAGCTGCCCGCGGCGTCTGAAGCGGGCGAGGGGCAGGAGGCGATGCCGGCGGACGTGAGGGCGAGGAGGCAGCATGTGCGATGGGCGGTCGAGCATGTTCTGTTCCCCGCCTTTAAGGCGCGGCTGGTGGCGACCAAGTCGCTCATGGAAGGGGGGGTTTTGGAAGTGGCTGATCTGAAGGGACTCTATCGCGTGTTTGAGAGGTGCTGATGAGGTCGTCACATTGCACCAAGTACATTCATTCGCCCCGATGGGCAGAGATTGGTTCTATGCTGGCCGAATCAAGCTCAAGCCCTCAGGCCTGCTTTTTCTTCATGGGACAGCTGCTTTGTTTGGCCTCCCTTTGTTTTTGCAAACATTGAAATTCCTTTCCGGCACGAACCTTTGCACGCCAGCCGTGCCTACGGTGGTCAGCCAATTTACTCCCCCGTTTGCCATTCCCCTTTCTTTATGAATGGGGAAAGATTGGAAGGAAGAGACGACAATTTTGGCGACTTGGGATCACTGATCATCTGCGTCATGAGTGCAGATGCAAGTTTCCGGCCACGAACTACCCTCCCCCTCACGGCTGATGCTTCCTCTTGTAGGCAAGGAAGCGATCGAGGTTGACGATGGCCTCGTCGGCCCTGGCCTTGAGCTCGGCGGCCGACTTCTTGTCAATGGCCTTGACCATGGCGCGGACCTTGGGCAGGGCGGCCTCGAGGTGGGCGAGGAAGCCGTCCTTCCAAAAGACTGCGGCGTCGCAGGCGTGCGCCTCGTCGGCGTAGACGTCGAAGAGTTGGTTGAGGGCCTCGACGGCGGGGGCGGGCGGGGTGGCGGGCAGGGCGGCGAGGAGGGTGAGGAGAAAGGTGCCGATTTCGCGGTTGACGTCGAGAGGCGCCGGGTCGAGGGCCAGTTGGCCGAGGACGCCGACGCACTTGACGCCCAGGCTTTGGAAGGGGTCGTCGTCGTCGGCGGCGGCGGCGCCTTGTTGCGGCTCCAGGCCCTTGGTCGCCTGGTAGAGAGCGATGAACTTGCGATGCTCGCCGGGCCCGAGGGATACGCGCCCGGCCAGGCCGCGAGACACGGCCCAGGCGAGCCCTGTGACCTGGGCGGCGAGGCCGACGTCGGCCGTGTCGGTGGCGAGGATGGGCGAGACGACCTGCTGCCACAGGGAGCAGGCGACGGGCCGCCACGCGCGCTGGATGCCGGCGTTGCGGTCGTCGGAGAAGTCGAAGAGCGAGACGGACCAGGCTATGTTGTTGAGGGCCGAGAGCGCGTGGCCTCGCAGCTGGGCGCTGACGTCGTCGTTGTTGCCGGGGTCGTGGCTGGCGAGGCGGATGAGTTGCGGTAGGGCTGTTTGGAGAAGGGCTCTGAGGACGGGCAGGTCGTCTGCGTCTGCGCCGCCGTCGCCATCGGCGCCGGTGACCATTTCCATGTCGGCCATCATCTCGTCCTCGCCCATCTCGTCGTCGTCGTTCTCCCCATCCTCCTCCCTTTCTTGCCCGCTCTCGCCATCTTCATCATCTGAGCCGGGCACGTCGGCGTCGCCCATGTCTTCGTCGTCCCTGATGGTTTCAAAGTGCTGCTGCTTCTGCGGTGAAGCAGCAGCGTCGCCAACCGACGACTCCGTCAAACTCGTGCCGATGGAGGCGAGCGTTTCCAGGGCGAGTTGTTGCTGCTCCAGGGGACTGGACCAGCCAGCGCCGTCGAGCGTGGCTTGTGTTGGGGTTGCGGAAAGGGCCTTTGCAAGGGTTGGGATCAGCACCGAGTCGTCTGCGTCGAGAAGCGCCGGGGCGTCTTTGGAGGCGGCCAGCGACGCGAAGAGGTTGTGCAAGGTGGCGCAGGCGAGGATGCCGTCGCCGGTGACGTGGTCCTTGAGGGCCATCATGGCCTGGAAGCACAGGCTGCCCTCGGGTGAGGCAAAGCTGCTGGCGAGGGGCGCGTTGTCCTCGCAGAGCATCATGAGGCAGGCGAGGGCGTCGGTGCGAAGGTCAACAACGGCGTCGGCGTCGGCCTGCGGCGTGTGGGCCACGAGGACGAGGAGGAGGCGCGAGAGGACAGGGTTTGCGGCGACGGCGTCGAAGATGTCGTCGCCCGCCTCGGCGAGGGCGGTCAGGAGGGAGACGAGGGAGGCGGCGATGCTGGCGACGAAGCCCTGCTCGGCCTTGGGCAGGGTGGAGAAGGCCGGTTGCTGGGATTGGATTTTTTCCACCATCTGGGATGTGATCGGTCAGCTTTGGGACTGGCTTCAAGCTCGGCTTTTCCTTTGGATGAGAGGGAGCGAGGACGAACAGTTTTGGCGGCATACTGCATGGGCGTCAGGACATCCTGCCTAAAGAGATGAAGGGCGAAATCGGCATCCTCCTCGTGGGCCAGGAGCTGAAGAACGCCCCAGCCGGCAGCGCGGCTCTCGAGGGCGGCATCGGTCAGGGTCTGGGTGAGGATGGTGTGGACGAGGTGCTCGCGGAGCAGCAGCTTGCGGCAGCGCGGATCCTGGACGATGTTTGCGATGGCGGCGGCGGCGGCGGAGCGCGACTTGGGGTCTGCGTCGCGCAGCTGGTGGACGATGGGCAGGATCTTGGCCTCGCGCAGGGCCGCGAGCTCCGGGTCCGAGGGCGGCTTGACTTGCTTGGCCATGGGATCTCGGCGGTGGGCTGAGCCGCCTCGGTTGCGCCTCGACTTGCCCATGCCTTTTCCCCGTCGTCTTTTCTTCTTCTTTCTTTTTCTGTTTAGACTCTTTCGGCGAGTAGCTTGGCAGAGATGTTGGCGGCCTGGGTTATTATGGCCTGGTGGACTGGAGTCGGTGGCAGACGCAGCGACTTATGACTTATACCGGGTGAAGTTTAGACATGATGGTGCGAAAAAGGCGACACGAAATTTTGGGCTGCCGTCGTGCTCGTGCCCCACCATCTTGTCTGTCGCCCTCTCAGGGTCCCCGGCGGCTGTTGTACCTGCGGCGTACCGTGCAAGTAGTATTAATTAGTATCCGTACTCCGTACCGGCGGCACCTGCGGGCCAGGCACGGAGCAGCGACTAACTAACTTAGTACCGACTTTCTTTTTCCCCAGGGGGGCCCCGGCGAGCGCTGGAAGCAAGCTCCTCCACTGGAAATGCTTGCTCCAGCTCGGTCCACGTCAACGCCACCACCTACCTCCCTCGGCCACCCAAGACATCGCCCGCTCTCCACGTCCACGGTGTCGAGGCGAAATGTAACGGCCCCGAGGCCTCACCCTCTTCGCTGCTTGCCTCCATCTCGCCATGTCCTCCAAGGCCTGGCCCATGCCGCAGCTATGGCGGAACGACGAGGAAATGGCCAAAAAGGACGACGACCACAAACTGGGCACCAAGCGCGCATCCGCTCCCTGGAACGCCGCCCGCCCCCCTCGTCCGGCCTGGGTCTTGCGCATCGTCGCCTACCTCCTCGCCACCGCCGCCCTGGTCCTCCTCCTGTTCCATGCCACGAGCCTCGACCGCGCCTCCGACGACAGCTATGGCCGCTACATCCCCGGTCTGTCCAACCCGAGGCCCGACGGCGCTCAGCAAGACCCGCGCCCGCCGTCCCGCAGGCCGCCCAAAGCTCTCTCCGCCCCTTATCCCTACGCAAAGACGGACACGAGCCGCGCCAGAGACTACAATGGGCCCATCACGCAACCCGAGCTGGCTGAATCCCTCCGACCCGTCATTGCTGTGAGCCCCGGCTCGGCCAACAACCGCAACGTCTTGTTTGCGGCCGCGAGCCTGCAGAGCGCAGCCACCCTGCTGCCCATGGCTTGCCAGATGGCCTCGGCGCGCCAGAACCAGGTTCACTTTGTGCTTGTGGGCAGGGACGACATTCCCCTGAAGGAACTGCTGAAAATAAACGGCATAGACTCGACCTGTCCTCTGACAATGCACGGTATGCAGACAGTCTCGGGGCAGCTTGCAGTTGCTGACCGTCGCTCTAGATGCCCGACCCAACAAGGCCGCCGCCTCGACCGACCGGCGCATGACGCTGGCCGTCGAGCGAGCCATGGGTGAGCTCCGATCCCATCCCCATACAACGCAGCACCTCTAACCCGCGCACTCGACAGCCGTCTTCCACCGCGTCGCCCACCCGCAAGCCATCCTCATTGACGCCACAGACGCCGAGGACATGTATCTCCGCCGCGCTGTGCGCGACCAGGCCAAGAAGACGCAGTCAGCGCTCATTGAGCTGCCAGAAAGGCCCCAGTCCCGCCTGGCCTGGATCACCAAGCTGGACGCGTCGGCCCTGGCCGGTAAGTTAACTCCCGCACAATGCAGCTTGCAAGGATGGTCCTGACCCTGGCCCAGCATGGAACAAGGTTCGCTTCGACATTGTCGTCCACAGCCCCCGAACCGGCACTGGAAATCTCAAGAGGCTGCTGCGGTCCATAGCACGCGCCGACCTTGGCGGCCACTCGGTCCCTCACCTGGTCGTCGAGCTGCCCTCGACCGTCGAGGCGCCCCTGGAAAGGTTCTTGGCCGGCTACAACTGGCCGCCGCCGTACCCGGGCGAAAAGCTGATGCCTTCAATGCTCTCCTTACGCCGGCGCATCCCGCGGCAGAAGCTGACGGAAGAGGAGAGCTCGGCTCGCTTCCTCGAGTCGTTTTGGCCGTCGGACCCTCTCCACTCCCATGTCCTGGTCTTGTCACCGCACATGGAGGTCAGCCCCCATTTTTTCCATTGTACGTCTTGCCCATGTCCTCTCGACGACGCACTCTTCCTAACGTGATGCAGACGTCAAGTACTCTCTCCTCTTTCAGCGGCATTCCCGAGCGGCATTTGGCGAGAGTCGCCACTCCACCATGATGGCCATGAGCCTCTCGGTCCCCACCACCATCTTGGGCAGCACGCGGCCGTTTACGCCACCCCCGCCGTTGCGAGCTGGTGAAGCCGAATCCGCCGCAGGGACGGCTTTTCTTTGGCAGGCGCCGACGAGCGATGCAGTTCTGGTAATGGGCGACAAGTGGGTCGAGCTGCACGGGTACGTGTCGCAGGTGCTGGACAGACAGCATGCCATGTCCGCCTCGCCCGCCATGCTGGCCTCGAAAGAGGTGGGCAAGCAGTACTCAGCCTGGATGGAGTACGCGCTGCAGCTGTCGCGCCTGCGGGGCTATTTGACGCTCTACCCCAGCCGGCAGACTGCGGATGCCATTGCCGGCGCACACACGGACCTGCCTGAAAGACCCGAGGAGTATCAAGGGCAGGCTGGCACGCGAGAAAAGGATAAGGACATGGTTCGTGACGAGGCCAGCGCGGTGTTTGATGTCGGATCCCAGGTGGACATGCTGGAGACGCTCCCGGGAGAGGGAGAGCAGCAACTGCTCGGCAGCTTGCCCGTGCTGTCTTGGGATGGGCAGCAAATAAGAGACGACGCCCTCGAGGAGGGTGCGGTGCAGTTGACGATGGATTTCCGTCAGCAGGTCGGGCAGTGTTCCTTCGAGGACTCCGCGAAGCTGGCCCGCGCCGACAGGTATGCCCGGGACCTGTTTTGCCAGACGGGCGAGGACAGGGGGTAGAATTTCGAGCGGGACGGCGGCGTTTGGGAGATCACTGGGAATGCCTTGCAGAAAGCAATGGGTACAAGGCAAGGCAAGGCGGTCCAGTCAGAGCGGTTGGACTTGGTTTTTAGGTTTCGAGGTAGCACAGCCTGGTAGACAATAATCTAGCGAACGGGGAGATGAGCGCGCGTGGAAACATGGATGCCTTTCTTTTTAAGAGTCCAACGTACATACATGATTTCTACCTCGAGAGCGCGCCCATGTATATTTAATTTTGGCTCGAGCGAAGCTTTGGGACGACGATGAGAATATTGCTAGTTATTAGGTCTCTGCATTAAAGAAAGAAAGAGGGTGTAGATTGCGCTATCCTGCCTAAAAGAGGGAGTCCGTAGGTATAACTATATATATATATACGAAGTATAGGGGGGAATAGGTTTCCCTATTAATCCGGTAGCTTACGGTTATCTAGATCTATTAAGTAACTTCCTTAGCATCCCTTAAGTTAACTACTATATTCGGTGCCTCTAGATATAGCGATAATATCGTCTCCGCTAATAGGGATAAGGGGCGCGCTTATTAGTATATATAGACGTAAGCTTAACCTTTAATAGCTATATATTAGTTTATAGCCTTTACTAAGACCCTTATTAGGTCGTAATATACCCTTTTAGGCGTTATAGACTATTATTATCGCGAAGCGTGGCTTAATTTCGTAGTTCTCGGAGATATCTCTTAGCACGAGGGATAGAGGAAGCTAAAAACACCCGGTATAGAAGAAGGAAGAAGGAGCTAAAAAGAGGTATAGAAAGGAGGGTAGGGGCATAAGGGGAAGTAGAAGTAGCGATAGCTTCCTATAGAGGTAGCGAGAGATAAGATGGATATGCTGGCAACGGCTAGAAAGGAGGGGAAAAACCGGCAAAAAGCTTAGTAGTTAAGAGGATATTAGTAGCTTCTTTAAGTAGGATCTTCTTTATTAATTAAGATACTAGACGGGTATAAAGAGGGGCGTTAGATAGAGGAAAGAAGGATAATTAAGGCAATATAATAATTACTCCCTTACTATAATTACTGCCCCTATAAGATTTAAATATCTCTGCCCTACTTATCCGACCCCTTACTTTTAATTTTACCTTTATATATTTTATATATACTTCCTATATCTCTCTTTATAAGAATTATAAAGATAGTAATACTTACTTATTATACTATTATTATAATATAGGTATTATTAGTATAAGTAAGACTTAAAACAAAGCTATTTATAGTTATAAAAACTACTTACTATTTTAGTTATATTTAAAGTTTATAATAGTATTATAGTATATAATTATAATAGCCCTGTTAATATAATAATATATTAAGAAGAAAATACCTTTATAATATAGTAGTTAAGCTAGTAATTAAGATTAATTAAAAGGATAGTTTTCTTATAAAGAGAGATATAAGAAGTATATATAAAATATATTAAGGTAAAATTAAAAGTAAGGGGTTAAATAAGTAAAGCAAAGTTATTTAATTCTTATAAGGTAGTAATTATAGTAAGGGAGTAATTATTATATTACCTTAATTATTATAAGGGCTTTTACCTTATATAGGCTTAAACTAAGGTCTAAGCTAAGTCTATATATAAGCGGCCTTTATACTTATATAGGCTAGGCCTATACTTCTCTTTTTTTCCCCCCTTATAGATTATTAACCTTCTTTTAATAAACTATACTTAAGCCCTTACTATAAGAGTCTAGGCGTTGCCTAGACAGTTAATAAGTGTGGTCAATTAACAAGCTAGGCAGCTTAGTCAATTCGTTACCTTTTATCGCGTACGTGCAACACGCCGTACGTGGCAGAGGGGGGTAGTGGCGCGACCACAGCCTATGCCCTCTTAGGTCTACTCCATGACATGTTGACTAAGCTACCTACTGGTCGTAGGTTCGAGTCCCCGTGCGTGAGGCCAGACAGGCGCGCATGCATACGGGCGCCGCAGCCTAGAGGCGTGTGCATGGCGCAGGCAGCGGGGGATCTCAACCTAGGCTAACAGGTGGTGCGGCACCTGGGGGTAATGGCCTATCAACTAAGGGAGTGACGGAAGAGAGCGCGGGAAGAAACCATGTGTAAGAGTCTAGGCGTTGCCTAGACAGTTGATAAGTGTGGTCAATTGACAAGCTAGGCAGCTTAGTCAATTCGTTACCTTTTATCGCGTACGTGCAACACGCCGTACGTGGCAGAGGGGGGTAGTGGCGCGACCACAGCCTGTGCCCTCTTAGGTCTACTCCATGACACTTACCTCTACCTACTCTATAATAGTATAATATACCTTTTATTTTATCCTCTTTATATCCCTATATATAAAATAGCTATTTTTTTTAGCTACCTTTAAAGCTAACTTTTAATTACTTAGTTTAGTTAAACCGCCTATACTAGTATATATATATATAATATATCTATACTCTTATAGTTATAAAATTAAAGTAAATATAATACTTAGTTCGCTTAAGTAATTAAGAGCCTCTTATAATAGTAGGGCTTTATATAACTAAGAATAGTACTATTATACTTTAGTAAGTTTAATAGCTCCTTTATAGAGCTTAAGCTATAGCTACTTTATATAAAAGTAAAGCTTTATATTAATAGCGCTATAATAAGGGATATCTATACTTAATTTAACTATTTTTATATAAGCTTATCCTTATACTTATAAAGGTATCTCTTACTATTTACGCGTATTAATATAAATAGACTAGCTAACCTCCTTATAAAGCTCTATATTAATTATAGCGAACTTAATATAGCTAAGTTAGTAAGCTAAGAGCTTATAACGCTCCGTTAAATATAAAGTAAAGTAATTCTAGCCTACCTTATATAGTTTTAAGAGGTGCTATATTAAGTAATCTCTAATACGCTACTTCTACCTCCGGAAATAGCCCCTCCCTAATTAGGTATCGGGCCCCCGCCGCCCTAACCCCGCCTATGCCCTATAATCTTAGTTATAACGCTTAATATAGTAGGAATATAAATATCTTAATACCTACCCTCGCTCGTCGATATATACTCTTAACTTCTCTCTCCTTCTATAATATACTCGGCTATTACTTACTACTATACCCTACCCTCCGCCTCCGCCCGCCTTCCTTATATACGCTGTCTTTATCTCGGCTATACCGCTAGTCTACCGCCGACCTCTATATAGACCTCTTCGCTTTACCCTCTACCGCTAAACGCGTCTACGCCCCTTTCTTTTAAAAATACCGCCGCCGCTACTACTACTACTAAGTATATATATCTTTATCGTTATATAATATACTTTCTTTAACTTAAATAAAGCTATTATATCTAGGTATTATTATCCGTTTAGCTATATATTTTATCCTTAACCTAACCTCGGACTATCTTATCTCTCGCTATTACGGCTGCCCCTCTAAAAGCTAGCCCCTATTTAGTAGGTAAAGGAAGCCTATATGCCCCTTAGTTAGTTACGAAAATATATAGTTACTAATAGCGCTAACGCGTAGTATAAGGGGCAGGTCTATTAATTAATATAGCTAGACCGGCGCTATCCCTAACGACCTAAATTACCCTTTCGCGCTATAGACTAATATAATATAAGGAGGAAAGGCTAGCGTATAGTCTATTAATATAAGGGATATAGCCCGGCGTTCCCTTAGCTAGACTCTTTTTAATATACTATATAAGGTATAACTAAGCTCCTTTTTATTAATTTTAGTCGTTAATAAAGGGTTACGTAGAAGCAACGCGGCTAATATTACTACGCTAAATATAAGCTAAGAAAGGGCGCTATAAGGACGCCTATAACTAAGTGCTAAGCCTTATCCTTTAATCTAGGCTATATAATATAATAATAGAATAAGAGTACTAATACTAATTAAGGACTAACGTATAAAGCTTAAGGCTAACTTAGAGCTACTAAGTATAATAGGCCGCTAATAGCGTAAGTAGGTCTATAATAGGGTTATAAGGAGGATTTTATAGTATCCTTTTAGCCGCGTCTAGTATAGTCTAATAGCTATATAATTAGTAGAGAGTAATAGGAGAAATAAGAGGCTAGCTTATATAGGTCTAGCCCTATATATTATTTTAGACGGACGGACTAACGGAATAATATAAAAGCCTAAGAGCACCTAAAGCTTAGGGAGTATATTTAAGCTAAGGTAAGGGGAGCGTTAGCTAGAGTAGTAAGCACGGCTCGCTTATATATTTAAGGCATCTAGTACTTATACTCTTAATAATACTTCTTAGTAAAGTTCTCTAACTATTTATAGGTAAATAGCGTTACTTACTCCTACGAAAGATTCGCTTACTTTAATAATAACTTTTACTATTACTCTTAATAGCTAAGCCTTTTAAGTTCCTCTCCTAAGGGGCGGTAAGTAGATAAAGCAGCTATAGCTAAGGCTACTATAGCTATTAACGTAGTAGTAGTATCTATTTACTTTTATAACCTTATAATAAGCTTTATCCCTTAAGGTAAAGGTAGGCTTAAACTATATACCTACTATCTATAAGTAATATTTAAATACGCCGATAATAATTCTATTTAATATAGAATCTAAGGCTAATAATATAGATAACTAAGTTAAGGGTAAGGGCGATAGTTATAATAGTTAAGATATAGATAACTCGCGGTCTCTTAATATACTTTCGTTAGCTAATACTATTATTATATCTATAGCTAAAGTATAAACTAGTAGCCCTAATAGTATAGGTAAGTTCTTATATACCTTATTACCTATAAGTTAAGGGGTTAACGAATAGGCTAAAATGCCTTAGTATAGTATTTAATAGAGCTAGTAAGGCTAAGGAATCCTACTAGCTAGGTTTATTAATAGTTAATTAAGCTAGTAGAAAGGCTACGATAAGTACTAGACTATTAATATTAATATCGGTCCTAAGTAGCCCTATAGCGCCTTCGCTTATACTAGCCTTAATACCGCTTATATATAGCTTACCCTAAGTAGATAAAGCGTTATAGAGCCCTACTAAGAGTATTTTAAATTAACTAGACT